AGATGGATAGATAGATGGATAGATAGATAGATAGATCGATAGATAGAGAGATAGAACGATATAGATAAATAGATAGAAAGAAAACAAAATAAATAGATGGATAGATAGATAGACAGATAGAAGCATCGATCGATAAATAGATAGATCGACGGCTACATAGATCGATAAAAAGATAGATAGATAGATAGATAGATAGATCGATAGGTAGATAGATAGATACATAAAAGAATAGATAGATAAATAGAATTAAATAGATATATAGATACACAACTGACTAGATAGATACATAGATAGATAGATGGATAAGGAGGTAAGTACATAGTCAGAGACAAAGAAAGAAAGAGATGCGGACGGGGGGTCGAGAGATAAATAGATAGACAGACAAATCGATCGATAGATAAATAGATAGATAGATATAAATAGATACACAGATAAATCGATCGATAGATAAATAGATAGATAGATAAATAGATAAGTAAATAGATAGATAGAGCGATAGATGGAGAGATAGATACAAAGATCGATCGATAGATAGAGAGATAGAAAGATATAGATAGATAGATAGATAGATACATAGATAAACAACTAAATCGATCGATAGATAAATAGATAGATTGATAAATAGATAAGTAAATAGATAGATAGAGCGATAGATGGAGAGATAGATACACAGATCGATCGATAGATAGAGAGATAGAAAGATATAGACAGATAGATAGATAGATACATAGATAAACAACTAAATAGATAGATACATGGATAGATAGACAGACAGAAGCATCGATAGACAAATAGATAGATCGATAGCGACGAACTAGATAGATACATGGATAGATAGATCGATAACGAGTTACGTACATAGTCAGAGAAAAAGAAACAAAGACATGCGGACCAGGGGGGAATCGAATGGGGGGGGGGCCCCCCTAAGTCTCCGTTCGTGACTCTCGGGTCTCAATTTCCGGGAAAGGAACATCCACCTCCCCCAGTACTAAACTAGTACTAAAGTACATAGAACTCAGGTAGCCTAGGCTACCTTTCGTGATCAGCACCAACCCTAATGAAATCATTTCTGTGAAACCCACGACTGGCAACACGACCGGAGACGTGGTCAAAGGCCGAACGTGTCGCACCCTCAACGTGACTCGCAAGATCTACATCAGAGACATTGAGGCCATCATCCTCATGTCCTTGAAGATGATCCAGTTCTCCATTGGCTCCTCTGTTTACCAACAAATTCGTGGCTCCCCGATGGGATCCCCACTGAGCCCCGCTCTTTGCTTGATGGTCGTCGCACTCTCCGAGGAGATCTGGTATCGCACCTTTTCCGGTACTCTGGCTTCGATGGACCTGACATCCACTTCTTCGCTATGTGGACAACCGGCTTTGCTTGGTGGACCCCTCTTGGCACTACGAACCAGCTTTTGCCAACTTCCTTCACCCGGAGTTCTATGGCAAGCCTATAAGCCTATAATTCTGGAAACGGAACCAGACCAGGAATTCTTGGGCTTCCGCATTGAGTTTGAACCCTTCGCTCTACGATATAGTCCACCGAGAGACTTTAACCAGGTCATGTCTCCATTCTCAGCTTCACCGCTGGGCGTTCAACTTTGGGCTTTGTGTCCAGACTGTTTTTGGTCGCCAAATGTGCGTACCCCCAATCCGAACAGCTACGAGGTTTTGCCGCATTGCATCGCTTGTACAAAGCTGCAGGCTTTCAGGAACCTGACCTCGTGTCAGCTTCCAAACCGATCCGTCGATATCTACATATCAACTCGCTTTGGTAAAACCTCGCATCAAGTTGCTGCATCAGAACCTTCTCAGACTTGGAACCTTGAGCAACTCAGGTCAACTCTAATTATTTGTTTCTTGCATTGCCACTATCCCAGTTCACTAGTCATTTTTTCCCTCGTGCTTATTCCTGACTTGGGACGCCATGGCTACGTCTTTGCTACCAGATACTACCAGTACCATTCCCCTTCATGAACCGGTTTCCCAAAAATTTCTCCATGATGTTCATCACGTTTATCTTCTCCTACATCGGGCCATGTCATCACTCCCTCCTACGCCGATCCCGAACATCGAACCAACCCCATTGCCTAGCACTGGCATATGGAACCAGCCTCCTGGCTTCTTGCCGGACTTGGACTACTCCGATGAGACCAATGCCTTTATCGATGGTGCGCCTTTGCCCCCACCCGACCTCGAAGCGGAAGAGAAATTCACGCAGGAGCTCGTGGATTACAACCTACCTCCGCCTCATCAACATGTCGACGCACCAGTCCCAGCCTCGGCCACTACTCCGCCAAAACTCTCTATGGCATCACCTCCTCCATCGAGGAAGCGAACAGCCAAGGCAACCCAGAGAGCCCCTGGAAAACGCCGTCGCAAGGCCTCATTCTCCGAGCTCACCTCCCATCTGGACGGACGAGGACAAGAAGATGCTTCGCACCCTCAAAACCGATGAGAGATCCCGTTTCTCCTGGAAGGTCATCGCCGGAAAGTTGGGCAAACCGGAACACGATGTCCGGACTATGTGGAACCATATTAAGAATCGAATGGGATATGACCTCTCCACCATGGATCACTTCTTTCCAAACTTCGCCGATATTCGATTGCAGAAAGGAAAAAAGGTGCACAACTCGTGAATCATCAATTCTCTCCATAAGGGGTTTGCTCTACACTTCCTTGACACTATGACTTTTGGTGAACCGGGTTGTTTCACTTTTTCGCATGTACACCATAGCTCCTTGAGTGTTTTACACATGTCGCTCCGTACCCGCCTCGATCGCTATTGTATGCAGCGAGCCACGACGACCGATTTGCCTTTCTCACCTTCAAGATCTCGCTCGCCTACACGTGCTCCCCCGTCTTCGTCTACTGGCCCGTCACCATTTCATCGACCACCCGGATGGCAACCGCCTACCGCTCTACCTCATCGACCTATTATTTTGCAAATTGACCTCAAGCCAATGCAACAACTTGCCAATCGAGATCCATACTATAATATCTTGGCCCCGCAAGTCGCTGGCAACCTTACTACCGATGAATACGACAGCTTATTCCAAGCCTACAAGGTTATCTATCCAGATTACGCAGCACGACACTATGTTGGTGAGATCAAAACTATGGTTGTGGACATCATGGCGCAGCGTTGGTCCATCTTCCTCAACACTACGGACTTATATCTCACGGTGGACACCGAAAAGGGCAACCAAATGCTGGATCAACCTCGACACTCGATTTTCAACTGGTATTATCCTGCTTGGAAAACTCATCAACATCTTGACGCCTTTACCAATCGCTCCACTCCGGCCTTGCCTATTGCCCCACATACAGATACCTCGGACACAGGCTTGGTGGTTCGCATTCAAAGCATTCCGCGAGGGCATCCATTTTACTCACCGACGTTGGTGACAGTACCATGATTCATCAGACAGTGCGAGTCCAGAAAGGAAAAGGACCTTGAGTGCAGGTGTATTTTAGGACAGTGCTACCTTCCTGATTTGAGTTCGGACATGTTGAATCACTTCCTTTGGCCGATTCCTTTCCATACGATATCTTCCCAGGCTGGTTTAGGCTCTGACATTATTCTAACACACGCGCTTATTTTCAACCTCATGGCATCGCCTCCCTACTCCTACACCGACATGTATGGAACTCAACGAGCGCTACCACTCTCCGAGAATCACGAGGACCAATCCATCACTAGTGGCGACCCTTCGTCGATATCATACATCCCTCGTGCTGCCCGATCAGTTCCCCACGCCCATACAGTTCATACTATTCACGTGAAGAAAGTCACCTACTACCCCCTGACGTCTAGACTAAACTATATAATCAAGATGGACTGGAAACGTGGCGCTCCATTGAGACCTTCTTGGGCAACCTTCAACTCTCTCAGGATCCCAGAGTCATACGGGCGATGGCAAACCAGTAGCGCATTCATTACGAGGTTCAACCAATTTCGTCATCTTCGCCCGCGGAGTCACTCAACCCAGTGCTTCCACACCCAGAACATTCGAATGTGCAATTTGGACAACCCGTTTCAGTCATTCCGGACCATACGTTCATTCTCCAATCGTGTTGGGGACGTTCTGCTTACCATCATTCTCAAGGCTCTCCTACATCGCTACGTATATTCTGCGTATATTGGCCCCCTTCTCGCACTACACTTCCGACATCACCGTCCAGGCTGCTTTTGCGACCCAGTGCTTCCACACACATGGAACTCATGGAACCGGCATCTTCGTTATATCATCCTCGATCTGGCCTGAGTAGCCACGCTGATATGTCCGATTCGAGCGTCTAACTAGCTAGCTTGTTCTCAACTTGGCCACAAGGAAAAACAGAGGCTTATTGACGTGCCGACCTTTTACAATCCCTTCATCACACTTGATTGTATAATGTTCATATCTCCGCAGACCGTTTGATTCATCACGCTCACTTTCTTTTCGCAATGGCTCCCAAAGGAGTTCGGCATCACCCGTATCGCGCCATCTCCAATGTCGAGACCTCCATTGGCACTCAAACGTGCTCCTGGTATGCGGGACCTGGAGGTCAACGTGCGGGCACTGATCCACCTCCGGACAGACCGGTCCTGATCATCGTTGACTACTCACCGTTGCAAACCCTTGCTCATCCCAGTGAACTTGATCATACTTCCTTTATGGCTTTGAGAAGACACAACTTTCGCTGCGCATCTGCTGGAGAACTGGAAGCGCTTTTCACTTGGGCACAATTGTTTCCTCCCGACTAAGCGGATGCTATCCAGTTTACTCATTTGAGAACACAGCTCACCACTCGACTTCGTACCCAATGGGATAGTCGAATCCCTTCCGATTTGGAGTTCCGCTATGCTGACCTCACTGGTGACATCTTTCAAGTTCACAACGACTGGACGATCATGCAGCTTTTGAACGAGCACCGACCTGAGAAGTCTTCAACCAAGTTCCTATCAATACCCTCCACCAAGATGATAACACCGTGATAGGGCGGGCATCGCCCGCTTGCAGCACACCCTCAATGACCTTGTGTTCCTTAGGCAAGAAAACCGTTCTGGCCGCTTTGACGGCTTCAGGAACTCTGCCAGCGGCCAGCCACCTTTCAACCAGGATCCTGTACATCTGCCAAGCTTCCGGCGGCAGACAACTGAGTTCGGAGCCGACCCAAGCGTCTCCCCCACCTGATCCCCGCATGGATGCAGCCACACTAACAAGCTCCTGAACCGAAGGGATTATGAACCTCTCTTCGGGCAAGGAAACAGTGTTTTGGAGAAGCTGCTCAGTGATCTGTTCAGTAGGCGGCGTCTCAGCTTTGAGCTGCTGCCAAAACTGATCCCAATATTTATGGATTTTTTCAGCCGCTTCTTGAGGGCTTCGGCTGGTACCATCGCCATCCTTGATCTGAATCCCCATGGTGGACCCAGAAGACTTCAACCATTTTCCAGCAAATTTCACATCAGAATTGAACTGCTGCCGCCACCCGGAAAGTCGATCATCCCGACCCTGAGTTTCCATGGCCTGAAGTTCCGCCTTAGCCCTACGGAGCAGAGACAACTGTTCACGAAGAGGCGGCTGAGATTCCAGCCTGAGACGTCGAACCAAGTTGGCTCTTGCCGCAACATGCTGAGACCCTGCAGATAACTCAGAGCCTGAAACTTGTTCCTTAGTGAGACGGATCAATTCATAAATCCTGGCGACCCGCTTTCGACACTTAACCAGCTTCATATCAGTTTCATTGACCTTAGCGTTACAGCGCTTGGTGTTGCGCTCTTTCCGAGCCGGAGGGTGACCCTTGACGACAGTGTTCCGACATCGAGCTGCAGCATCACAGCTGATGCGAGAATCTTCTGAGGTCTGACTAAGTTCCCAAAAAGCCTCTCTATGCAGGTCGTCCAAGACCTGAAGAAACTGGTTCCAATCGTCTTCCACTGTTCCCTGCAAGTCAGAGGAGAGCAGGCGTTCAAGGAATTGAGCAGCAGACGGAAGACGAGCCCAATTGTCCTGCAGCAACTTTTTCCATTGATCTCTGTTGAGTCCCTGAGGCAGGACCCAGCTGGGCCCTCTGGTCAGATACCCCACCTTAGTGTTCCGGTCCTTAAACTTGAAATCACAAGACAACACCTTGTGATCCGAGACATGAACCTCCAGTGCTTTTAGCACACCGGCTCCAGAATCGGCGCAAATGGCATACCAATCAATCTCTCTGTCACTTTCCCACCTGGTACCTTGATGAAGCCTGGGAATGACGGCACCATGGAATTGAAAGCAAGAACTTAAAACGCTATCATCGGGAACCTCATTAGCATCACCACAACAGATCCAGCGACACGTGTGGAGGAACCCAGCCTGGATGGCCAACGAATTAAAAAGTTCACCAGCTTCAACTTGGGGGTCAACTTGCTTACTGTTTTCCCAAGGGGGGGCATAGAAGGAAGCGATAAACCAATCTTCGACCCATAAACCAAGAACCTGAGAGTGCGTACCAACCAAAGAATAATGGGGGCCAATCTGCAAGCGGCTATCAACCATGATGGTAACCCCTCCCAACTCAAGCGGAGCCCCGTGACTGCTTTCGTGCGGGCGGCCAGAAGCATGAAACACTCGAAACCCCGACCTGTGAGCATGTCTCCTAAAGGCTTCAAACTCACCATGGTTGAACTTGGTTTCTTGCAAACATAAGACCAAAAATGAGTGCGGATCATCGGTGCGACTATGGTTCAACAGTGACCAGGCCCCAGTGGACGTCCGGACATTGCAGCACAACACTTGCAAAGAAAGCGGACCCGGATTTGGTTCAACGTCCCCATGACTAGTCAGATCCGGTTGGAAATTCTTTTGCCTAGGCATGGGTTTCTTGTTGAAAAACTTGTTGGCATCTTTAAGAGAGATGTTCCACAACCGCAGCAGCTGTTTTTGCACTTCCGAACCTTTCAGTTTGCGCCAAGTGGCCACTGTGCCTTTGTGAGGCACACTGTCACTGCCCTTGCAGGGCGTCAAGACACCCGGAGTGCACCGGATGACCCGGCAATTGACACAGGTGATCATCTTCCCTCTGTTAGTTTTTCCTTTCAAGGGGCACTTAGACCAATCGACTTTAAATTCTTGGAATTCATGACCCTTCAAATCCGCGGATTTCCTCCAAGCAGCGGAACCCGAACTCGTCCAAGCAGTGGCCTCCTCAACCGTACATCCCCAGGCTTGGCTAAGGGCAAGACGGATGTCGGGAGCCTGAGCAAGACGTTCCCACAGAGAGGCCTGAGCAGAGGAAGCACTGCCCAAGCGCTGTTTGCATTGGAAAAAATTCCAGCAGCCTTAGAGACCATGCGACAGGTTTGGCAAGTCAGCAACGTGTCCCCTTTCCGAGTACTAGCAGCCTTCGCCCGAGCACGGGGCCAGTGTGACCAGTTTATGGGCACCTCAACCAACTGGTGACCGCAGCTGTTCCAATTGCGCCTTTCGGAAGCGCGCTTTCTGAGTTTATCCCCCAGAGTCTTTTTTCCTTGGAGATATTTAGAAGCTTTGGCAGAACCCTTCCTGGCCAAAGCAGCCCTGACGGAGTTACTTTTGCCAGCAGAAGTATCTCTTTTGGGATGCTTGGTGGCATAATGATGCGTAACAGCCTTGGTTTTGTCACTTTTCGGGAGAAAGGGAAGCCCGGCCGGGCACCAAGGACAACTCCAATCCCTTTCACTTTCCGGGATAGAGGCAGAGGCCAACACCGGAGGAGCGTATTCCCTCATGTGATCATTCTTAGACCTAGGAATGTCGGGATGAAACTTCGCCAAATGGGCAGCGCGCAAGCTGGTCAAGGAACGCTGCTTTTCACCCTTCCGGAAAGTCACCCCGCAACCTTCATGAGGGCAAGTCCATATGTCTTTCGGGTCACGACGATTTCCCTTTAAGGCAATTCCGTCAGAGAAGGACTTCACCAGTTGCTTTGACGGAACAGCAGAAAGACCTTTAGAACGACTGGATTTGGTGGCACTATCCCGATCACCACAGAAAGAACCGGAAGCCAACGATTTATGACCCTGCTTGGAAGGTTTCAACACCAGGGTTTTCCGAGTGAGGCCGCCAACCGAAGGTTGAGCTGCCGGAAGGCTCCCAACTTTAAGAGCCCCTATCGAATCCTTGGCAGTCATAGCCTTAGTAGCCGGAGAGTGCTGTTTCTTCTGGCCTTTGGAGGTGACGAAGGATCTGCGAGTGAGCCCCCCGATCGAGCCAGCAGCTTGACCAGAGGCCCTGGAACCCAAAGCCTTCTTTTGAGTCTGAACCACCCGTTGCGAGGACCTGGTAACAGCCGTGTGTCCACCAAGGGACCGGCCAGCAGCTGTGTGGCCACCCAGAGAAGGCGCCTTACCTCCTCCACGGTTACTAGACTCCCGACCACCACTAGTTTTAGCGGGCAAAGCTTTGGTGTGGAGAGCAAACTTGGCCTCAGCAGTGCATTCAAGTAACTCGTAATGAGAACTCCCGTAGAAAAGATAGATCCCTCGGTTGGCACCACTGGAATTGAAAGTGTGAACCGGACCTTCAGCTTGAACCACCGTGATGGGTCTATCCATGGTAGAAGCCAAAGCAGTGATTTCCAAATTCCCAGCATACTGATTCACTTCAGACACTTGTTGGATGTAACTCTCGAATCCAGCAAGAGTACCGTCAGCAACCATTTCATCCTCGGTGTTCCGTTGATCCCATGGATTTCCCAGATTCTTCATCCGGTTGTGGTTTATGGCAAGCAAAGTGACAGTCAGGTTGCGGCCGGGCAGTTGCTCGAAGCGTACACCCAAGCTGGTTTCCTTTGTTCATTGGATTACACCAAATGTTTTGATTGCCTGCGGCCTTCATCTAGTGTTGCCATGTTCATCAAAACTGGTTTGGATTCCCGATTTTGTACCATCATCAAAGATCTTTGGGATTCTCATGTTCGATGGCCTTCTTGGGGGGGCACTGTGCATCACGAAGTTTTGGCCACTCACGGCCTTCCGATTCCTCAAGGGGAATGCCTGGGACCGATCACCTGCTGCCTCTGGCTGTCTGCTGGCCAGAGATACGTGGAAGCTCAAATGGGGGCTGCTCTGACAAGTTCCATTTACATGGACGACCGATCCTTCGTGGCTCGGTCTGCTGAGGAGTTGGTGCAAGCTCAGCGCTGCTGGGCGGACTGGAGTGGTAGGGTAGGGTTGCTTGAGTCTGCTTCTAAGACCCAAATGACAGCTCGTTCTCAGGCTCAGAAGCGATCGTTGCAGACCTTGATTCCTGCCGAATGGTTTCGCTCAGATATCACGATGCTGGGGGTTGTCACTAAGGGGGCCCCTAGGTGTAATGCCCAGCAAGAAAGGGATAGGCTGACTAAGGCTAAGCTCCGTCTGACTTCTTTGTCCACGCTTCGTCTTGGCTCTGGGCTCTTTGCCGTCTACGCTCGGGTTTTTTCCCTCAGTCTCTGTTCTTACGGGTGGCTGTCTCGTCTTCCTCGGAAAATGGATTGCGATGCTCTCTGGACCGCCGTCAAGAAAGGTCAGAAGGTGTTGTACTCTGCGAACACTTGGTTGCGTGCCATGGTCCATGGGGGTCTGAACCATCTGGACATCATCACGGCGTGCAACCTGTTCAGGGTCGTGTCGGTTTTGCGCTTTCGGGGTCAGGCGTTCTGGTCCAACGGGTCAGGTAGTCTCGTGGCTGAGTTGCGCAAGTGGTTCAAGGCCAGGAGGTTCTCGGAGGTGCGTCCTTGGGAGTGGAGTCATGTGGATGATCCGTCCATCCAGGTGTCTGCTTTGAACTCTGACAAGGTTCATCTCAAGCGCATGAGTCATCTCATCCGGGAAGGTTGGAGGTTCTACTGTTGGGACCAGTTTCTTCAAACGTCTCGTCATGAGATCTCTACGGTCAGTCATGTCCAGGCGTCTGATCTTAGGCAGGTCAAGTGGTCTGCGGTCAGGGCTTTGTCTGAGTCTTGCGCGGCGTGTCGCACGGTTGCGGTCGGGGGCACGGTGAGTCCGGCGTGGTTCCATGCTCGGGATGGGGAGCCCTTCTCCTCTTCTTGTCCTTGGTGTCCCGCCTTGGGGTCCTGGTTTCATGTGTGCTGGGAATGCGAGTTCAGTCCTCTTCTGGCGTCTCGTCCTCCCACTCCGTCTTTGGGTATCACTCGTCGTTTCGGTTGGAGTCCTAACCCTGGTCCTGTGCTGAAGTACCTCGCTGAGGTTCAGAAAGCGATCTGGGATCACCGGTATGGCCGGTCATAAGATGTCTGGAGCATGTTTCATGTGGCTGCGTGCCACGTTTCACTAAGGGTTCACTTGGCAGGCTCTCTGCCCACTTAGGCTTCTGTATCTGGGATCACCGGTTTGGCCGGTCTTAAGATGTCTGGAGCATGTTTCATGTGGCTGTGTACCACGTTTCACTAAGGTTTCACTTGGCAGGCTCTCTGCCCACTAAGGTTTCTGTATCTGGGATCACCGGTTTGGCCGGTCATTTGATGTCTGGAGCATGTTTCATGTGGCTGTGTGCCACGTTTCACTAAGGGTTCACTTGGCAGGCTCTCTGCCCACTAAGGCTTTTGTATCTGGGATCACCGGTTTGGCCGGTCATAAGGTGTCTGGAGCATGTTTCATGTGGCTGTGTACCACGTTTCACTAAGGTTTCTCTTGGCAGGCTCTCTGCCCACTAAGGCTTCTGTGTCCATTTTGGACTCACCTAGGTTTGGCAACGTGCGCTGCCGGTTCGACGTCAGTGCATGCGATTGCAGCGGCGGCAGCTTCTGCGATCTACAAAATACTACCCGAGCACCGACCTGAGTGGCGTATTCGGCAATATAGTTATAGGATCCCCCGTTATTGATACCCAGTATGTTTTGCATATACTTTCCAGACTACAAAATGCTCTGCAAAACATAAATTGCTGAAATTCATCGGTTTCAGAGGTCATTCTGTCCTACAAAATGCTACCGAAGGCCCCTACATAATGCCACCTGCTGACAATGCTAACAGCTCACTACAACACGGAAATCCGCCAAAAATATGATCTGGAAAGATAAAAATTCCTAAATGGCTCAGGTTCCCTGACCTGTGACAGCTGGAGACAGGGCTTCCAGGAAGCAACAATGGCCCCTAGGCCCTAGGTGACCTGGAGGACCTGTCACCTGCATGGCGGATATCTACAAAATGCCTCCTACAGGTTAAAAACACAGGGTAATTTTCTTTTACCATTATTTTGTGTGCAAGGACACATTTCGTACATTATTTTTTTAATATAAACCGACTCGTTGCATTCGGATCACCGCTACAGGGAAGACACAGCGGGGATTAAAACGATAGGTCCCCAACCACTCTTTTTGGGGACCTATCGTCTTCATGGTTGGTGAACATAATGTAATAACATATTGAGATAACAATGAAAAAGGTTCTTTTGTAGCATATTGAAATTGTAAAATTGTGCATATGTGCTTATAAACATTGCTATGTGAAATAGTTTGACGATGTTTGATGCTTATAAAAATTGATTTCTATTCATAAATTGATTTTTATTCGTCAAGAACAACCTACAATATGCTTTCCTTTTGCCGTGATTTTTGGAGATGATATGAACTAATCAGGAGGCAAATGGTAGGCTAGTTTCCCCCCTCTTAGGAGTATACAAAATGCCCTCAAAAAAGCTCGCAGGAGCATTTTGTAGGTCTCAAAACATGAGGCATTTGTTAGGATACAATCACGGGGGATGTTATAGGCAATCATCACCACTTGTTCCGGGTAAACAGCCCTTTATTTTACGGCTGACTTGTCATAAAGTGAGACAAGGGGTCATTCTCCCGTGATTGGTTTCACTACAGTGTCTTCCATAGAGCAGGACTTCGAAAAGGACATTCCAAGGCTTCTCTATTGTTTGGTATTGTTTGGCATTGTTGCTCTTTACACCAGTATTGTCGGTGAGAAACTGATCCACTCCTGCTGTTTCAACTTTTCGTTTTGCTTCTCCTGATTCACGACTTCGTCACTCTTGTTTCATTAATGCGGCCTGACGATCTCCAAAACCCTGACAAGTTTCGGCTGGTCTTGTTATTCTGTTTTACTCAGACCCATTTGTCTCGAAGCTCGCCTCCGTTTTTTCGATTCCCTCGACGATGGAGCACAAACGCGACACTGACGCAGCTGGCCTGATTTGGCCCAGGGCCATGGCCCGATCCTCACAAGGCACTGCTCGATCACCAGACGCATCTTCTTCGGCGGCACCTTTGAATCCACCGGAGTCTGCTACTACCCCGGCTACTACCACTTTGGCATCTTCCTCTTCGGCACCTGAAAACCCTGTGACCAACTTGGGGATGTATTCAGCTACGCCAGGAACCCAGCCTCCGGCTCCATTTCCAACTTCGGGACATCATCATATTACCTCTCCTCACCATGGCCGATTCAATGAACGATTGGTGCATCAGATCTACTTCAAGATTTTTAATTACCTATTCCAACAACACTCAGGAACTTTCGATCATGGAGATCCCGGCGACGGGCTACTCACGGACGAGAGACCCAGAACACTTCTTCTTCACCATGACTGGAGACTGGGATTGGTCCCAGCGTACGGCGGACTACTGGCGTCACTTCCTCGGTGTACCCACTCGTCATGGAGGCAATCCGTTCGCTGATTACTATCCACCGGACATGGAAGCTGCTAGCTAGTACACAAACGCCTCAGCCGACCATTACCGCCCTTGCCACCCAACTATACATGATCGGCTTTTCACGCCTCCGGTCTCTGGAATGGGATCTGGCCCCTCGGACGTCGCCAACGACATCTTGGACAATCTGACCCCGGATCAACTGAATGCGTTTACCGAAGCTCTGCGTATCTTGTCATCTTCTCGTACTGAGGAGCTCTGGGATCATGATTGAAGCTGACCGAATCGGGGTCACACTGCTTTCTGTACCATAGCCTGGCAGTTGTCGCTTCTTCCGGAAAATAAACCCTGCTGCGGCAGGGTGTGTGTGTGTGGCACATCTGTACAGATGTAAAACTTCAGGGTTCTGGTAGTTGTCAGCAGGAGGCATGCGGCCATCATGCAAACGCATGCCAACGAAGCTATGCATGATGGTGGAAGCCGGGGCTGATCACCCTGGTGTACCTGCATTGTTGTGATTACCTGTTGTTCAGGGTCTGCTTCCAATCCCAATTTTGACTGATATGGCAAGCGGCCAAGCCCAGAACCGCACAATTGAAACGTTTTATTTCTCGGTTGGCGCAATCTGATTTTTGATGTCATGACGAGTTATTTGACGTCTGTATTCTGGTTTGGTCTATGTTTGATATTTTCGGAAGTCCTTCATCGTTCTCGCGAAGTACAACCACGAGATCTACTTTAGGTCTAATTACCTAGGCTGGTTGCACGTTAAAGGACTCAGTTCCTGATGGATCTCTTCATAGATCCAATTTTGTCTAGTGTGTGTGAACAAGTTGTGTGTGAGTAAGTTGTGTGTGAGCAGTGTGTGAGCCGGCGGGCGGCGGCGGACGGCGGAGAGGTCGGCGGGAGTGCACAACCAAAACCAAGAACCCCACACAAAGATGTGGGGAAAAAAAGAGGCTTACTGTAATGTAACCATGTAAAAAAGAAACAACATGGGCAACATTGTGCATCGAATCAGTTCGAATCACACAGGGGGCACAAGTTGGAAAGTCGCTCCACTTCTCTTGCGATCCGATCTTTTTCCTGAGCGAAAAGTCCAGCGTCAATGGGGCACACGTCACCTACAGCTGCCCCATTCGTTTCATTCGTCTAGGCTCACTGCTTCCATCAACTTGGAGTTTGCCTTAAGGGCATTTTTCGCGACATGTGTCAAACTAGGAGAACAAATCAGCAACAGTTCCACAACACTAACTTGAACCTCTTTTGCACATGGAGAAAGTAATCTAGATCAGCATGTCATGTGTTCATCTTTGACCATGCCACTGATGGGTAAGGATCAATTCCTATGGCCGATTGGCTGGGGGATGCTGGGGGTGCCTTCTTCTTACCATGTTGGCTGTTCAGCATATCTGGGACGTTTCGGCACGTCAATCATTGAAGAGCCAAAGGGGAATTCAAGCTGGCCAGCGCCAGATCTCTGTAAGACTTCTGTGAGATTTGTGTAAGCTCTGAGCGGAAGTTACCCGCTCCACAGATTGCTCGTGGTACGCTTTCTCCTGAACCACTCTGGTCCATTGCTGTTCCGCTTGATTCCAAGCCAGAAGGCCTCAGAAGGCTCTCAAAAGAATCAGCGTTGTCCTTCTCGAGCACATTGAGCGTGCTCTCCAATCGATTGGCCAGCCGGTTCCTGCAACATCGAGCTCAATGAAAACAGACTCATCGCCAGCGCAGAAGCATGCAATGAAGCAACTGAGACGAATCCAAAACGAATCCAACATATTCGTTTAAAACATCTGAGCCCAAAAGTGCTGTTCATTCAGCCTCTCATCTGTCACAGTCTGCAGAGTTTGCCGATGTCTTTGCAGCTCCTTCACTTAGCAGCTACTTCGAATCTGCACATGTATTGCATCAAAGCAGCAAGAGCAGTGCTTGTCTTGACTCGCCAACATCCGCTAACTATATCACGGTCGACAAAGGCCTTCTTTATATTTCTTTATTCTCTTTATTCAAGGTCAGTTAAAGGACAAGTCTCCTTGCGGCCATCCGAGGAACCATTCTCGGCCGCCTCCGCTTGCTTCAGCTGAACCTGCAGCAATTTTCCTAGAACCATTATGAACCGTTCAGACCTTCTCAGTGCAAGCTTTGGCATGCTTTGACTCATCAAGATGCAGCAAGACTAAACTCTTACGCCGTCAGACGCCATTTTCCAAGATTTTTCCATCATCAGATCACAAAGAAGTCAACAACCTTCAGAAGCATCGAGCACATGTCGAGCACCTTGTCGAGCTGGCCTTTCACATACAAGAAATTGTCCTGCAGCTCCTGACAAGACGGGCACAGCTCCGGTGAGATGCGCAGCACGTGGTGCAAACAGCAACTTGACTGATGCAGCGGGATGCTACGCATTGCTACGCTATTCAGTGGAATAAAAATCTTCAGTCAATGGCCAAAGTTGCACACAGGTGAAAATTGTAAACTTGTGCTGCCATACAGACTCTATTTTGCACTGCCGCGCTGACTTTCAACTATCTGATTCCAGCCAGAATTATACTTTTCGGACTCAATCACATCCTAGTGTAGCACAAAACTTCATGTGTAATTATTGTAGATTCCAAAGCCTCCAAAGCAAACAAGACCAGAGATGCAACCCTGGAGGAAACGCATGAAAGATGAACGGATCTAGACTCTTCTAATTCATGCTGCTTATTTCAGCGGCATGTGCTTGTAGCTATGACAAGGTGCACAAAGTGCTAGCTTGCGGAAAGACAAATCTCAACATGTCGATTTAACATTTAACATTAAAGTACATAACATGTATGATCACGCACATGAAATAAACATTAGGGAAAGCAATGCAAAACAAATGAATTACATTCACAAGATTTCACAAGATTTCACAAGGGCATTTTGGCGCCCAGTGTGCCACAGTGCCTGTCTTTCTTTGTCTTGATCCTGGCGCCCGTGGAGCCGAGCCCTGGGCTCCACCACTGTGGGTCGCATTTCTTAAAAAAATGAAAAAATAATCGCGACCGTACAATATTATAAATCATGTTGTAAATTGTAAAATTCTAAGTGGTAAAAATGTTGTGAAATGCTGTCAAGAACAATTTTGAGCAAACCCTTCTATACGGTCGGTGACTGTCGCAGAGTGTTGCACCCTCCAGTGCGGCAGACATCTACAACCTCCTACAACCTCCTGCATGCCTGCCAGGTCAAATAGCTTGATATCCCGGGCCATCCCTGACTGTCCTGCAAATGCTTTCGAAGCTGCTCTTTTTGGTTGTGCAAAGCTTCAACATCCTGTGGAGAATGTACATGTCAATCAGCACCACATCACAAATTTCCAAGCACAACCTCAAAGTGCATCATTGTATACAAGCGAGCTTTTCTCATGTCTACAAGAGAATGTGGCTGAGTCAAGCCTGACACGACATAAATAGCTTAAGAAGCTTAAACCCTACTTACACCATCTTAATATAATGTCAGTGTTGCGTTCAAGCTGCAGTCCGAAATGCATCTGAGATGTTTGGATTATTTGGATTAGAGCTCCAGCTCTGTGGTGTTTGACGATTTTTGGTTATCTGACGGTTCTGTGTGATTATCTGTGCTTGGCCTCCAGTGTTCTCACAAGGCTGGTGGCATTGTCAATGTACATTATATAGTGATCGTTGGTTTGCGCACTGCAGTTTTGGAATGAGAAAGAATCCCCTTGCCGCCTGTCGCAAACGCTTCAGCTCTTGTGTGTGCACCTACCAAGAGAGCAAAACTCTCAAAGAAGCACAAAGGTAGGCCGCATTAGGCCCTTTTTCCCGAGAGCGCCTGCGAAGGGTTCTTCGTAAAAAAGCAGCCGTTATACTACATCTTCACACCTTCACATCTGCTGATCTACATCTTCACACCTTCACATCTGCAGATCTACATCTTCACACCTTCACATCTGCTGATCTACATCTTCACACCCTCACATCTGCTGATCTACATCTTCACACCCTCACATCTGCTGATTTACATCTTCACACCCTCACATCTGCTGATCTACATCTTCACACCCTCACACCTGCTGATCTACATCTTCACACCCTCACATCTGCTGATCTACATCTTCACACCCTCACATCTGCTGATCTACATCTTCACACCCTCACACCTGCAGATCTACATCTTCACACCCTCACACCTGCCGATCTAGATCTTCACACCTTCACATCTGCAGATCTACATCTTCACACCCGCACATTTGCAGATCTACATCTTCACACCCTCACACCTGCAGATCTACATCTTCACACCTTCACATCTGCAGATCTACATCTTCACACCTTCACATCTGCAGATCTCCTCTCGCTCTTCTTTCTATTCTCTCTTAAGGCGGGGGCGGTGCCGCCGGAGCGCCACGAAACGCAACCCTTTCGCACGAAATGGACGTTGGACGTCCAAAACCTAGGTAAAATTGCGATTTTGAAGCGTCCCCGGCAACCCTTTCGCACGAAATCGACGTTGGACGTCAAAAACCGAAGAAAAATTGCAACTTTGAAGCGTCCGGCGCAACCCTTTCGCACGAAATGGACGTTGGACGTCAAAAACTGAGGAAAAATTGCGACTTTTATCGGTCGCGCGCAACCCTTTCGCACGAAATGGACGTTGGACGTCAAAAACTGAGGAAAAATTGCGACTTTTATCCGTCGCGCGCAACCCTTTCGCACGAAATGGACGTTGGACGTCAAAAACTGAGGAAAAATTGCGACTTTTATCCGTCGCGCGCAACCCTTTCACACGAAATGGACGTTGGACGTCAAAAACTGAGGAAAAATTGCGACTTTGAGTTGTCAATTGCAACCCTTACGCACGAAATGGACGTTGGACGTCATCTGCGTGTAAAAGCGTCTGTGTGTAAAAGCGTTTGTGTGTCAACGCGTCTGTGTGTAAAAGCGTTTGTGTGTGAAAGCGTGTGTGCGTGTGTAAAACGCATCTGCGTGTAAAAGCGTCTGCGTGTAGAAGCGTCTGTGTGTAAAACCGTCTGTGTGTAAAAGCTTTTGTGTGTAAAAGAGTCTGAGTCTGTGTGTAAAAGCGTCTGTGTGTAAAAGCGTTTGTGTGTATACCGACCGCCTGAGAGATAGAATATTTTTCACTACCAGACACGCGAGTGAGAAAATTTCCATCGGCCTCCCACTCGGAAAAAACACCACAAGATAGAATATTAATATAGCATATTCACAAAAAATCACAGAACACCCCCTTGAATATTCTATCTTGTCAATTTCGTGCATGCCTGTGCAGAAAACTTTGAAACTACTGATGATTTTTGAAGCAACAGGGTGCTACTGTGAAATGATGTTAAACAAATTCTGCTGTGGGATTTCCAACAATTCTGAATCCAACATGTTCCAATATGGAAACACCCCCTTGAATATTCTATCTTGTCAATTTCGTGCATGCCTGTGCAGAAAACTACTGATGACTTTTCAAGCAACAGGACGCCAAGTCAACATGCCAGAAAAAACAAGGAAACATGATGAAAAAGAGAGGAAAAAACAATGAACAAGGATGAACAAGAGAGAACAAAAACAAGAAAAAATGATGAAAAAGAGTGAAAAAAAACAATGAAACATGATGAAAACGAGAGAAAAAACAAGGAAACATTATGAAAACTAGAGAAACAACAATGAAAAATGATGAAAAGAGAGAAAAAACAATGAAAAATGATGAAGAAGAGAGAGCAAACACTGAAAAATGATGAACAAAAGGACAAAAAACAATGAAAACTGATGAAAAAGAGAGAAACAAACAATGAAAAATGATGAAAAAGAGAGAACAAACAATGAAACATGATGAAAAAGAGAGGAAAAAACACAATGAAAAAGGATGAAAAAGAGAGAAACAACAATGACAAGCATGAAAAATAGAGAAAAAACAATGAACAATGATGAAAAAGAGAGAACAACCAATGAAACATGATAAAAAAGATAGAAAAACAATGAAAAATGATGAACAAGGGAGAAAAAGACAAGAAAAAATGATGAAAAAGAGTGAAAAAAACAATCAAACATAATGAAAAAGAGAGAAAAACACTAAAAAATGATGAAAAAACAGGAACAAAAAACAATGAAAAATGATGACCAAGAGAGAAAAAAACAAGAAACACTTATGAAAAAGAGTGACAAAAAATGAAACATGATGAAAAAGAGAAAAAACAATGAAACATGATGAAGAAGAGAGAAACAAATGATTAAAAATGATGAACGTGTTTTTTCATTGTTTTTTCTCTCTTTTTGATCTTTTTTCATTGTTGTTTCTCTATTGTTCATCATTTTTCATTGTTGTTTCTCTATTGTTCATCATTTTTCATTGTTTTTGTTCATCTCTTTTTCATCATTTTTCATTGTTTTGTTCTTCTCTTTTTCATCATTTTTCATTGATTTTTCTTCTCTTTTTCATTATTTTTCATTTTTGTTTCTCTATTTTTCATCATTTTTTCATTGTTGTTTCCTCTGTTTTTTAAAATGTTTCATGGTTTTTCCTTTGTTTCTCATCATTTTTGATTGTTGTTTCTCTATTTTTCATCATGTTTCCTGGTTTTTTCTCCCTTTTTCATCATGTTTCAAGTTTTTTTTTCCCACTCTTTATCATCATTTTTTCTTGTTTTTTTCTTTCTTTTTCATCATTTTTCATTGTGTTTTTTCCCTCTTTTTCATCCTTTTTGAGTGTTTTTTTTTTCTCTGCTTCATCATTTTTCATTGTTTTGTTTCTATTTTTCATCATTTTTCACTTTTTTTTCCATATTTTTAATCGGATTTCATTGTTTTTTCTCTTTTTCACCATTTTTCATTGTTTTTTCTCTCTTTTTCATCATGTTTCATTGTTTGTTCTCTCTTTTTCACAATGTGTTCTTGTTTTTGTTCTCTCTTGTTCATCAGTTTTCATTGTTTTTTTCCCTCTTTTTCATCATTTTTCCTGTTTTTTTTCTATCTGTTTCATCTGTTTTCATTGTTTTTTTTCAGTATTTTTTATTGTTTTTCAATGTTTTTCAATTGTTTAATGTTATTTTTGAGCTTTTGATAAGGCTCAAAAATACGAAAACGGACAAGATAGAATATTTTCGAGACCCTGGCGTGACATGGCTCCAAATTCTATATATATTTGGAAGCCTTCCATTGCGTGGATTTTTTTCCGTATGTTTCATTGTTTTTGCTATATTTTTCATATTCCTGGCGTATCAGATAAAACCAACAATTTTGCTAGGTAAATCCCAAAATATTCAAACTTGTTTCCACCACGTTTTGCGTTAAAACCGCAAATTGAGGGTGTGAGGTGCGACCACGCGGTGGGCCGGCAACAGCTGTGAATTGCGGGGAGGCATGGCACCAACTGACTTAAACCCAATAAAACCTATACAACCGCTATATTATATATATATATATATGCACATAAGTATTGTGAAAATCAACATAAGAGCATTTCCACACACACAATGGAAAAAATCCAAGTAATTTGGAGCCATGTCACTCTAGGGTCTCGAAAATATTCTATCTTGTCCGTTTTCATATTTTTGAGCCTTATCAAAGCTCAAAGCAAAAACATTAAACAATTGAAAAACAAAGAAAAACAATGAAACATAATGAAAAAAGTGAAAACCAATGGAATAAAAATGAAAAATACAACAAAGACAATGAAACATACGGAAAAAAATCCACGCAATGGAAGGCTTCCAAATATAGAATTTGGAGCCATGTCACGCCAGCCAGGGTCTCGAAAATATTCTATCTTGTCCGTTTTCATATTTTTGAGCCTTACCAAAAGCCCAAAAATAACGTTAAACAATTGAAAAGCATTGAAAAACAATAAAAAATAATGAAAAAAGACAATGAACAATGATGGAGCAAATGAAAAAAAAATCAAAAGGAAAAATGATGAAAAAGAGAGAAAAAACAATGAAACATGATGAAAAAGAGAGAAAAAAACAATGAAAAATGATGAAAAATAGAGAAACAACAATGAAAAATGATGAAAAAGAGAGAAACAACAATGAAAAATGATGAAAAAGAGAGGAAAAACAATGAACAATGATGAAAAAGATAGGACAAAACAATGCAAAATGTTGAAAAATAGGGAAAAAAAGGAAACATGATGAAAAATAGAGGGAGAAAACAATGAAACATGATGAACAAGAGAGAAAAACAAGAAGAAAACATGATGAAAAACAGTGAAAACAACAATGAAACATGATGAAAAAGAGAGAAA